GGCAGGTGCAGGGCTCTCAGGAAGCCTGGGCTGTCTTCTGGCCAGCGTGCAGACACCCATGTGTTGCCTTGTTTATCTTGGAGGCTGAAGGGGAATCCCCAGCGGTACATTATCCTCTTGTTGCAGAGTGTGCTCGTGACCGGGCGCAGGGCTCTTCTGGCATCCAGTGTCAGCGTGGAAAGATCCTAGAACAGGGAGAACTTGACGGTAGGTACTCCCCTGGCAGCTGCCATGATCTTTTCTTTCAGGTCCCCCTCGTGTAGACAGCATATTATGTCCTTTGGACTACCATCTTGCCACATGGGTCCTAGAGCTCTATGTGCCCGAACAAAGCGGATTCCCATGGGCGCCTCAGCTCCCAGTACATGCTGGAACAATGCTTCTAAGGTGGTGGCGAGTGGTGCAGTGTCCGCTTCAGGCAGGCCGCGTATGCATATATTGTTACGCCTGCTTCAATTCTCCAGGTCCACCACCTGCCTCCTCAGGGTAAGCAATAGGCTGCTCTGTTGGGTGACTGCCATCTCTCTGGCATGGTGTTGCTGGGAGCAGTCTTGGGCCACGGCCTCAACTTCGTCCACTCTGCTTTCAAGCGTGGTCAGGTCTGTGCGCAGGCCTGTCAATTCTTCTCGGAGGGCCGCTCGTAGTTCTTGTACCAATTTGCCCGAGTCTGTTTTCATGAGCATTCTGGCCGAAATCTGGGATAGTTCAGCGAGTATCAGCGCCAGCTCACCCGAGGAGTCACCCCCCCCAACTGGGATTCCTCCACGATCTCCATATCTGGCGAGGTGGGCACCATCTTGTCCGCATGCCGCGTGTCTCTCGCCTCGGGCTGAGTTGCTACGTAACCGTCCATCGGGCCCGTGTGGCGGCGGGAGGAGTCCGCTGCCGAAGTCCCGCGGACCGACTGTTTTTTATTGCGGACAATCATCACCTTATAGTGTGCTAGGTAGCTGCTTTTCTACGGCCAGGGATGCAGAGCCCGGTGACTATGCGTCCTGAACCATGCTCGTCCAGGCCACGCCCCACCTTTATACATTTTTATTGGGTAGCGCCTACACACCATTGTACTTTTTTATAAGTACTTAACTTGCTCCAAAAAGTTGTGATGGAATATATGAAGTATTACACACAAGTTGGATGAGGTTACAACTGGGCCACCATCAGGGAGTGACAACAGTGACAACATAAACCTTGACGACTGTCACAGGCCTGGTGGTCTTGGCGCGCCCTGCCTTCTGGCATCTGCTCTTAATCCGCTGGGTGCCTGGGTCCTATACCCCCATCCCCCAATATGCACACACATATATATATATATATATATATATATATATATATATATATACACTAAACAAAATTATAAACGTAACACTTTTGTTTTTCCCCCATTTTTCATGAGCAGAACTAAAAAATCTAAGACTTTTTTCTATGTACACAAAAGGCCTATTTCTCTCAAATATTGTTCACAAATCTGTCTAAATCTGTGTTATTGAGCACTTCTCCTTTGCTGAGATAATCCATCCACCTGACAGTTGTGGCATATCAAGATGCTGATTAGACAGCATTATTATTGCAAAGCTGTGTCTTAGGCTGGCCACAATAAAAGGCCACTCTAAAATGTGCAGTTTTACTGTATTGAGGGATTTGGGGGGGTCCGAAAACCGCAGCTGTCCAGGTGGCTGGTCTCAGACCATCTTGGAGGTGAAGATGCAGGATGTGGAGGTACTGGGCTGGTGTGGTTTCACGTGGTCTGCGGTTGAGAGGCCGGTTGGAAGCACTGCCAAATTCTCTGAAAAGCCTTTGGAGACAGCGAGGAGAAGTGCTCACTAACAGAGATTTGTGAACATTTTTGTGAATATTTGAGAGAAATAGGCCTTTTGTGTACATAGAAAAATTCTTAGATCTTTGAGTTCAGCTCATGAAAAATTGAGGCAAAAACAAAAGTGTTGCATTTATAATTTTGTTTAGTGTATATATACCTATAGCGAGTACCACTATATACAAGTATATATTATTATTATATTTATTTAGCGCCAACAAATTCCATAGCGCTTTATAATCGGTGGACTAACAAATATGTAATTGTAACCAGAGAAGTTTGGCACACAGAAACTGAGGGTCTGAGGGTCCTGCTCAATGAGCTTACATGCTAGAGGGAGTGGGGCAAGGCCGGCGCTTCCTATAAGGCAAACTAGGCAGCCGCCCAGTGCGCCATATAGGAGGGGGCGCCCTGCGCCCCCATCGCCGGCCCTTTAAATGCCACAGCCGCCTGAGCGCTCTATAGAGAGCGCTCAGACGGCTGCTGCACTGCCTCACCTCCCCTTTCCTGTAGCGTGGCCGAGCTCCTTTCCGGTCCGCGACCCGGCCGGACTGACAGGAAGTGCACACTGAGTGTGCACTTACGGTCAGTCCCGCCGGGTCGCGGACCGGATAGGAGCTCGGCCACGCTACAGGGCAGGGGAGGTGAGGAGATGATTATAGGAGGGGGGGGAGAGAAGATTATAGGGGGGGGAGAAGATTA